CCAAGAAATAGAGAAGAACTGTGGAATGTAGTCCAATCATCCTGGGCTGGAATACCTGTTCATGGGTGGCAGAAGTTGGTTGACTCCATGCAACAGATGTACAGCAGTTGTCAGAAACAGTGCTTATACAACTAAATATTAATGATTCAAAGGAAAGCAAAATCTTCAAACATTTTTCAGTTATATAGTGAATGTTTGAGTTTGTAAAGAAGAATACAAACACTGCTATTTTTTAATATAATATTCACTTTTCTTAAATTTTTTTAGAGGAACAACACAAATTTGATATATTTTTCTTCATGTTTTGATTTGGAATAGAATGTGTAGTGTTCCCAATGCATTTGTGTGTATGGAAATAAAAGCAATTAGAAGGATTTTGAGCTTTATTTACCTTTTTCAATACACTGCTATTATTTTGAACACAACTGTACATCCAGCAGGTGGAGCTTTGGGCAATTTTTTCTTTTAACCAAATTACTTTTAAGCTTTGTTTAGACTTGAAGTTAGGGGGGGGGGCAGCAAAAATGCGCAGTTGAGCCAAGCTTTCTGCTAGACCGATGACACCAGAGCTAGCATAGGGGAAAGTATCTATATCAAAGCACTTGAGACTTGAGATGGTTCAAAGAGATCTTCAGGATAAGGTAGACAATCTAGAAAACCACTCATGGTGGAACAATTTGCGCATTACAGGCCTGCCTGAGTTGTATTCTCCCTCCTTGCTGATCACTGTATGTGCTACGTCCATTCCGAAGCACCTAGGCTTGCGACATCCCTGCACGGTTGAAAGAGCTCACCGTATTGGTCCGCCGTTCGACTCTCCCACTAAACCTCAGCCAGTGATTGTCCACTATCTGAACTACGCTGACAAACAGGTCATCCTTCAGAAATTCTGGAGCACACATGCTTTATCTGTGGACAAACACCAACTGCTCCTGTTCACGTACTACTCAATGGAGGTTATGCAACAACGTAAGGCCTTCTCTTCGATCTGCTCCACTCTCTATCGCAGGCAGGTTAAGTTCACCTTGGCTTACCCCTCTGTTCTTCATATCCAGCCATTGGATGGAAAAAGGCTATCCTTCACCTAACCGTTGGAAGTGGAGCACTACCTCATCGGTATCCCTGAAGCAGCCATGGATCAAAGTCCCTCTTCTGTACCGTCTTCCTCCTCCCTCAAAGGGAAAATTCCGCGCCCTTCCAGAATCAACCGAGTCCTCAAAAGCCACCGCATAAACGGGTGCTCTCTTTGGTAGGGCCGAAGATCGCTACTTTACCCGCTGACTTGTTTCATCGGATGATATGTGTAATGATTTTCCTTGTTCTTTAATGCTTTCTCAGGGACTGATATAATTTGTCTTATAACGACTAAGGTTTGGTATTTATCTGTCTTGTTCATGCCTCCCCTTTGGCAATCCTCCCTGTCCCCTTGGATGGGAGAAGAGGATCTTCAGGTATTTTTTGTTCCCCCTATCACCATTCTCCATCTCATAGTCAGCATGGTGGAGTAATGCATATATGTTCGCCATAATTCGGAGTCACATATAATTTGTTTAATGTGAGTGGATACTGTAACACGTTTACTTTTTTGTTATATAAAACGGTGTTGCACTTTGGTATGTTTTTGATTTATTTTGCACTGATCTGGAGTTTAAAGAAGCATAATACATGGAAGCAACACGTCACGGAGCAGAAATTTGGAGATACAGTTTCCTTATAAAGGCTGTTTTTGGCCTATTATAATTTATAGATCAATGATCAAGGTGAACAGGGAGTGGGGTCACAAGTCAAGCACGGTGTTGATTATTGTTGGATGATAACGCAACATATACTGGATTGGATGTTTATTATCTGTTAACAAACCGGATATTGCTTCTGCTCACTGCCTCTGTTCAACGAAGAAGAAGAGGAGGATCGGGACTGCTTTGTGCAACATCCTTGCACAGAGCAGGTAAGTATAACATGTTTGTTTAAAAAAAAATCCTTTACAATTCTGCTCTATGGTATATACAATTATACAAATAAAAAAAATATTACAACCCACATAAGCAGCCACCACTATATTGCAGGCAATAATATAAATGAAATAATATACAAAGTGCGGCACTTCAAATAATCATAAAATGAACTTAAAAGTCCAATCCACAGGAATAGAGGTATAGGGAATGAGCCCCTCTTCCCTGGAGCCTCAGTGCTACTATAGATGTATGAAAACGGCCAGGAGGAGAAGATAGAAAAGTCCACCATCACTGTCACCAAACACACTGCCTCTTACCGGATCATATTGACCCCCAGTTACGGATGGGTCAAAATGCGCTCTATAAAATCCAAAAGGCAAGCCGTGGACCTGGGCACTCTTTGGTTCCAAACTTTCACATCAAAAATTAACTCGAAGGTAAACCTACAAAAGAATTATCCTCGCAGAGGACAACCCTGATCAAAATGCAAAAAGAATCCTCATAGTGTAGTAAGATTAATTAAATTTATTGCCTCAAAAGTAGTAAAAAACTTACATCAAAGAGAATTAAAACAGCACGTCACCGTATAGATGAATGGTACTTTTCAAACCAACAAGATGGCCGTCATGTTCACGCTGACATCACGCGTTCTGGCTCCTCCCTTCACGTTTTCATCATCAATGATGTTATTAGGGGCGTGGGCATATTTATAGGGAGGTGGGGAGCCACCTCCTCCTTCATTCTAATAAGGCGAGCACCGAATCCGGAAGAGAAACATTGGGCACAAGCCCCAGGATCGCCACAGCACATCCTGCTATTAATATATTTAGAAACCTAAAATAAAAATACTTGGAAATAATCTTATAAATTATCTTATTAAATGCTTAGAAACACTGTGGTTGGGAAAACCGTTCTTTATATTGGCAATATGCTCTTTTAGCCTGGTCTGTAGAGTTATTAGTGCGGTTAAAATTTTTAACCTCAAATGATTTGTTAGTAATCATGGAGTGAAAGGTCTCAATTTTCCTATTTTTGCATATATTGTGCTTACACACTGTACACCTTCTACATGGGAAACAACTCTTACTCTCATGAAACAGAGAAGGTTTCTTAGAAGGAGCTATAACATTAGGAGCTACAAATAAACTCAATGGAGGTGCCCTCTGAAAATAACAAGAGGGACCCAAAATTTTATCATTCTACAATACTCCCCAATGCTTCTTAAAGATATTTTTAATGTCATAGTATTGAGTGGAGTATGTAGTGACAAAGGCAATATCTGACAATGAGAAGTATGTGTTAAATCACGGCTTAAAATTTGACCCCCATTAAGCTAAACAAGTTTGAGACATTTATGATGTCCACAAGTTTATTAGGAAAATTAATATTAAGAGATATCACTAATCCTACCAGGACAAGTGGTGGAATAAATGAGGGAGGACCTAATTTTAAGCATACCTCTTTGACCAATGCGCCTTTATTTAACCCACCTGGGAATGTGGCTTCTTCGATCTCTGTTTTCAAGGATTTAGTCCTTAAAGATTTGGATGATCTTTCAGTTAGGAAAAAGAGATTAGATGCCAGATTCCAGATGGGAATGGAAGCCCTTAAAAGTCGGAACAACATTGTAGTTCATTCGGCTGACAAAGGGGGTGGCATCGTTGTGTTGGATAGTGAGGCTTATCGATGTGAGATGAGTTGTCTACTATCAGACAGGGACACTTATGCCCTTTTAAAGGGCAACCCTACCACCAAGTATAGAAAGGAAATGCTTAATTTGGCTGAAGAGGATTATAAAAATGGAATCATAAATAAAAAAGAGAGATCCTTTTTGGTTCCTATGGCTCCACGTGTACCTGTGATATATTATTTGCCAAAAGTTCACAAGGATCCTACTAATCCTCCGGCCCATCATTAGTGGGATCGACTCAGTGACTTCCAGGGTAGGTAAATATATAGATCATTTCCTGCAGCCCTTAGTTATGGCCACTCCATCTTTCTTGAAGGACATTACACAAGTCATTAATATTCTTTGGGGATATTAAGCGGAAACAATCATACATTTTGGCTACAGTGGATGTAGCCTCTCTCTACACCATCATCTCCCACTCCCATGGCAGGGAAGCGGTAGAGAGAGAATTTTTTTGAGGAGGGATGGTTCATTGCCCAGCCTTCAGAGGGATTTTATTCTATCTCTTTTAGATTTTGCCATGGTGCATAATTATTTCTGGTTCTAAGATACCTATTACTTGCAGAGCAGAGGAGTGGCCATGGGAGCCAAATTTGCTCCCAGTATGGCCAATCTTTTTATGGCCAGATGGGAAAAGGAAGTCATTTATGAACAGAGCCATCCACACTTAATACTTTGGAAAAGGTATATTGAAGATGTTCTCCTCATATGGGACGGGGAAGTTGATACAGTGGATGCATTTATTTCCTCTTTGAATGCTAATGACAGGGGAATTGTTCTTCAACATGAATACAGTAGGGAAGAGATACATTTCCTTGATCTTAGAATCAGAGTGGAAGGCGACAAGCTTGCTACCTCTACTTTTTTTTAAGAAAACTGACAGGAACAGTATCATTGGGTCTAACAGTTGTCATCATTTCTCTTGGTCTGTGCCCAAGAGTCAATTCCTTAGACAAATCATATTGACTTCATGGTAGAACCTGACTGCTTAAAATCACAATTTCTTAAAAAGGGTTATGATTCTTGTGCATTAGAAAAAAAACATTTAGGGAAGCTGATGCAAAAAACAGAACAGAGTTATTAATACCCGGCTTGAAAAAAAGACTCTAATCAGTCATTTAACCGTATCCCGCCCATCATATAAGTTATTGACGGGCGCAAGGCGGTTCTCTCGTCATATGACGTCCTCCCATTCTAACCGCGCATGCGCGGCTCCGGGAGTGCGATCAACGGAAAGAGCCGAAGATGTCAGCTTGGTCATGTGATCAGCTGATCACATGTAAATAGGGAAATGACGGTTATCAGCATTTCTCTCCTCACAAGCTGTCACGCTGACAGCTCGAGAGGAGAGGAGAGCCGGTAATCGGCTTTTACTCAGAGGGGACATGTACACTGATCATCAGGGCACCATCAGTGCCACAGCAGTGCCACATATCAGTGCCTACCAGTGCACATCAGTGCCACATATCAGTGCCCATCTGAGCTGCCTTTCAGTGTTACCTATCATGTGCCACCTATCAATGCCAGTCAATGCTACCTATCAGTGCAGCCAATCAGTCCCAGTCAGTGCTGCCTATCAGTGCCAGTCAGTGCCGCCTGGCAGTGCGCATCGGTGCTGCCTAGCAGTGCCCATCAGTGCTGCCTATCAGTGCCGCCTAACAGTGCCAGTCAGTGCCACCTAACAGTGCCAGTCAGTGCCACCTTACAATGACAGTCAGTGCTGCCTATCAGTGTCAGTCAGTGCCGCCTATCAGTGCCATATATGAGTGCTGCCTTTCAGTGCCCATCAGTGATGCCTGTCAATGCCCATCAGTGCCACCTACAGTGCCTCCTCATCAGTGCCCATCAGTGCCACCTATCAGTGTCCATCAGTGCAGCCTATCAGTGCCCATCACTGTAGCCTCATTAGTGCACATCAGCAAGGAAATAAATCACTTATTTACAAAATTTTATAACAAAAACTAAGAAAAAACTTTTTTTTTCAAAATTTTCAGTGGTTTTTGTTTGTTTAGCAAAAAATGAAAAACCCAGAGGTAATTAAATAATACCAAAAGAAAGCTCTATCTGTCTCAAAAAATTGATAAAAATTTCATATGGGTACAGTGTTGCATGACCGCGCAATTGCAATTGGACAGTGTCATTCAAAGGGGTATAAGTGACAGAGTGGTTAAAACTGTCTTTGTGCTGTGAAACAATAACATTTTGGGTCCCAATTGGCCTGGGGCAGGAAGGGGGTATAAGTGGCCCTGTAGGCGAGTGGTTATAAACGAGTCTTTGTCACTACATACTCCACAACATACTGTGACATTAAAAGGAGGGATCAATCTTTAAGAAGCATTGGCTGAAATCACATGAGTATTGTGGAACAATAACATTTTGGGTCCCATTCATTCAGAGAAGAGATTCCTCCTGTTATTTTCAGAGGGGCACTACCTCCATTAGAGAATTTAACCCCCTGATCGCCCCCCCCCAGTAACCCCTTCACTGCCCTGTCCTGTCACTATCAGTGAGCGATTTTTACTGATTGTCGCTGGCGACTTCCTAGCCTCCCAGATAGCGCCAGTTTGCCCTCCTAAGAAACCTTCTCAGTGTTTCTAATTAACCGCTTGCCGCCCTGCCGTGTTATACGTTGCAGGGCGGCAGTGGAGCGCAAAAGCACATTTTATTGAACGTACTCCGCGCTCCCCACACATTCGCGGGTAGGGGGCGCGCCGGCGCGCTCCCGCCGACCCGCGGGTGATACGATTCGATCCAGGAGGGATCAATCATTAGATTTCAGCCAGTGATTTCTGGCTGAAATCACATGATCGGTCCCTGTCCTATCCTGTCCTGTGTGTGTATTTACCAGGGCAGGATATGATGTCAATTCTTCTCTGCCTGGACACATTCCGTTCCAGACAGAGAAAAGACATCCAAAAAGTGAGTACACAAGCACTACACTACAGTTAGAACACTCTAGGACACATTTAAAACCCCTGATCGCGTAAAGTTAACCCCTTCACTGCCCTGTCACATTGTCACTGATCAGTGAAGCGATTTTTACTGATCAGTGTCGCTGGCGACTTCCTATAGAGTTTAGCGCCCCTCCCAGATAGCGCCAGTTTTGCCCGCTAATAACCCAGTAGTCCCGTCTAACCCCTTGATCGCCCCCCGAGTTAACCCGTTCACTGCCCTGTCACCAGTGTCACTGATCAGTGAACCAATTTTTACTGATCACTGTATCAGTGTCGCTGGCGACTTCCGATAGTGTTAGCGCCCCTCCCAGATTTAGATTGCTTTTGAGTAAAACCAGTAATCCCGTTTAACCCCTTGATCCCCCCCCCCCCAGTTAACCCCTTCACTGCCCTGTCACCAGTTGTTTTTTGATTCAGTGAACCAATTTTTACTGTCAGTGTATTCAGTGTCGCTGGCGCAAAAAATCGATAGTGTTAGCGCCCCTCCAGATAAGCTCCATATTTGCCCAAAGAAAAAACCAGTAAATTTCGTTTAACCCCTTGCATGCCCCCCCCCAATTAACCCCTTCATCTGCCCTGACAGTTAGTGTCACTGATCAGTGAACAAAATTTTTAGGATCACTGTATCAGTATCGCTGGCGGACTTCCATAGTGTTAGCACCCCTCCACAGGGATTTTTTTAACAAAAACCAGATTACCCGCCAGTACACAATCCAGTTATAACCCTTGAGTTTACCCCCCCCCCCCCCCATTTAACCCCTAGCTGCCCTGTCACCATATTGTCATGATCAGTGAACCAATTTTTACTGATCACTGTATCAGTGTCGCTGGCGACTTCCGATAGTTTAGCGCAAAAAGATAAAAAGCGCACAGTTTGCCCCGCCAGTACCACCAGTAATACCCGTTTAACCCCCCTTGATCGCCCCCCCCAGTTAACCCCGTTCACTGGGTCACCAGTGCACTGACCAGTGAAGCGATTTTTACTGATCACTGAATTAGTGTCGCTGGCTGACTTCCGACAGTGTTAAGGCCCCTCCCAGATAGCGCCAGATTGCCCGCCATACACAGTAATCCCGTTTAACCCTTTGACGCCCCCCCCAGTTAACCCCTTCACTGCCCTGTCATCCAGTGTCACTGATCATGTGAACCAATTTTTTACCGATCACTGTAGCAGTGTCGCTGGCCACTTCGATAGTGTTAGCGCCCCTCCCAGATAGCGCAGAGATGCCCGCTTAATACACCAATGTAATCCCGTCTAACCCCTTGATCGCCCCCCCTCCGAGTTGACCCCTTCACTGCCTGTCACCAGTGTCATTGATCAGTGAAACAGATGTTTTAGCTGATCACTGTATCAGTGTCGCTGGCGACTTGAGATCGATCCCCTTGTTAGCGCCCCTCCCAGTATCTGCGCATGTTTGCCCGCTAGTGCACCAGAAAATCCCATTTAACCCTTGATCGCCCCCTAACTGGCACATGCCCCCCCCCCGCCCCCCCCAGCCCCCAGTTACCCCTTCACTGCCCTGTCACCAGTGTCATTGATTACAGTGAACAGATTTTTTACTGATCACTGTATTAGGTCACTGGTGACTTTCCGATACGTGTTTATGGTTTAGCGCCCCTCCTAGCTGCTCCAGTTTGCCCACTAATGCACAGGGATTTTTTTTTTACCAAAAACATGTAGCAGAATACATTTTGGCTTAAATTTATGACTAACTTTGAGTTTACGATATATTTTTTATAGCTTAAAGTAGAAAATATTGGTTTTTTTTCAAAATTTTCGTATTTTTTGACTATTATAGCGCAAAAATTAAAAAGCGCACAGGTGATCAAATACCACCAAAAGAAAGCTCTATTTGTTTGAAAAAAAGGGACGTAAATTTCGTTTGGGTGCATGCATTGCATGACCGCGCTTATCATTTGAATTAGTGCAGTGCTGTATAGCAAAAAAAGGATAAATTACAGTATCTATACCATAGATTGTAGATGCTATAACTTTCACACAAAAGCAATCAATATACACTTATTGGGATTTTTTTTTACCAAAAACATATAGGGGAATACATTTTGGCTTAAATTATGACTAACTTTGAGTTTACAATATATTTTTTTAGCTAAAAGTAGAAAAATATTTTTTTTTCAAAATTTTTGTGGTTTTATTGTTTATAGCGCAAAAAATAAAAAGCGCACAGGTGATCAAATACCACCAAAAGAAAGCTCTATTTGTGTGAAAAAAAGGACGTAAATTTCGTTTGGGTACAGCATTGCATGACCGCGCAATTATCATTTGAGTTAGTGCAGTGCTGTATAGCAAAAAAAAGGCATAAATTACAGTATCTATACCATAGTTTGTAGACGCTATAACTTCCACACAAAGCAATCAATATACACTTATTGGGATTTTATTTACCAAAAACATGTAGCAGAATACATTTTGGCTTAAATTTATGACTAACTTTGAGTTTACAATATATTTTTTATAGCTGAAAGTAGAAAATATTGTTTTTTTTTCAAAAGTTTCGTGGTTTTTTTTTGTTTATAGCGCAAAAAATAAAAAGCGCACAGGTGATAAAATACCACCAAAAGAAAGCTCTATTTGTGTGAAAAAAAAGGACGTAAATTTCGTTTGGGTACAGCATTGCATGACCGCGCAATTATCATTTGAATTAGTGCAGCGCCAAACGGCAAAAAAAGGCCTGGTCATTAAGGGGGTAAATCCTCTGGGGCTCAAGTGGTTAAGAGTTATTTCCCATGTAGGAGGTGTACAGTGTGTAAGCACAATATATGTAAAAATAGGAAAATTGAGACCTTTCACTCCATGATTACTAACAAATCATTTGAGGTTGAAAATTGTATCACCTGTACCACAAAAAAGTGATTTATTTAATCCAATGGCCATGTGGGTTTCAATACATAGGACGCACTGTTAGGACACTACAGACCAGGCTAAAAGAGCATACTGCCAATATAAAGGTTTTCCCAACCACAGTGTTTCTAAGCATTATGCTCTTCACCATGATAAGAACCCTGAGGGAACCTTGTTTATTAGTACTGACAAATTCTCCAAGAACTGGAGGGGCAGTTACACCAAGCGGGAGATTTCTAAATTGGAAGTATGGTGGATTTACACCTAAAATCATATACGCCATATGGTCTCAATATTGAATGGGACGTTAATGCACTCATCAATAATAGTTATGTGTTTCTGGTTACCTTTTAACTATTTTATTTTTTAGGTTAGCAGAAGATGTTTCATCATGGTAATTTTGTATCTATTTTTAATGTAGAATGTCAAAAATATTTTGATGTTCTCATGTCCATTATATTGGCAATTGCTATATCTTTTGTGAACACAAGATGGCACTATGATGTACTCTTTTTTTCTCTGGCGATCCTGGGGCTTGTGCCCAATGTTTCTCTTCCGGATCCGGTGCTTGCCTTATTAAAATGAAGGAGGAGGTGGTTCCCCACCTCCTTATAAATATGCGCTGCATTCTGATGCTGGCCACACCCCTAATGACGGCATTGCTGATGAAACGCGTAGGGAGGAGCTAGAGCAAGTGACGTCAGCAGGCACAGGAACATAGCAGCTATGTTGTTGGTTTGAAACTTACCATTCATCTATATGGTGACATGCTGTTTTACATTCTCTTTTGATGTACGTTTTTTACTATGTTTGAGGCAATACATTTAATTCATCTTACTACACTATGAGAATTGTTTTTGCATTTTGAACGGGGTTGTCCTCTACAAGGATAATTCTTTTGTAGGTTTACCTTCGAGTTCATTTTTGATGTGAAAGTTTGGAACCAAAGAGTGCCCAGGTCCACGGCTTGCCTTTTGGATTTTATAGAGTGCATTTGGACCCATCTGTAACTGGGGGTCAATATGATCCGGTAAGAGACAGTGTGTTTGGTGACGGTGATGGTGGACTTTTCTATCTTTCCTCCTGGCCATTTTCAGACATCTATAGTAGCACTGAGGCTCCAGGGAAGAAGGGCTCA